CTTCCCCTACCCCTAACTCTAGTTCCTCCCCTACCCCTTCCTCTAGGTATTCCTCTCCTTCCTCTAGACATTTCTCCCCTTCCTCTAGATATTCCTTCCCTTCCTCTAGGAATTTGAGCCGATGTGCCTGGCAAATCGATTGGTTCAAGGTCATGTGTTGTGCCTGGCAAATTGAACGGTTCAAGGTCATGTGCTGTGCCTGGCAAATTGATTGGTTCAGGGTCATCTACTATTTCCTCAGATGCATCATTAGGAGGGTCTCTTTGCCCAAATAAGTTACATCTACGCCTAGACTGATCATTATCATCATCATCAGAACCAGAGCTTGATTCACTTACATAGTCAGTTCGACTAGGCCTATTTGCCAAAAAACTAAAACGATTATTTTCCTTACTTCTATTTGGATTGTAGTCTGGGTCCTCGTCAGTGTCATCCACATAGTCGTCACTCGTTTCGGAAGATGGTATTTCATCAAATGAGTCACTACTATTGTCTTCGTCAACAAAATTACAACCACTTTCTATAACATTATTGATTAGTGTACCTTCACTGGCGGGCGACCGGCACCTTTTACGGTTTCCGTCACTCATTTTTCAAAGGATTTTCCCACGCACAAGTTTCACCAAACAGCTAAACATTCGCGATAGTCACAAATCGATGTTCACTCACAGAAAGACCGGGCGAAACTAAAGAAAAATGCGCCAAACGAAGCAAATTCGCGCTAAAACACTAACGCGGGAAGTTTTTACAGAATCATTATATAACAGCTCCGAAGATGAAAGTTGTTGTGTAATAACTAAATAACAATATTTATTTCTTTATTTTTATTTTTACTTATAGTTATTTGTTTACTAAATTGATGTGTTTTATATAATCACGTGCAAACAACAACAGTGAAGTCGGTGGAAAATGCGCCAAAAGAAGCAAATCGGCGCTAAAACACTAACGCGGGAAGAATAGGCTAGTTTTACACATTCATTATATAACAGCTCTGAAGGTGAAAGTTGTTGTGTAATCACTAAATGAGAATATTTATTTATTTATTTATATTTTTACTTAGTTATTTGTTTACTAAATTATTGTATTTTATATTATGACGTTTAAACAACAACGGTACAGTCGGCGGGAAACTGTCAAGCGAAGCGTGATGCCACGTAAATTTCGTCGACTTTCGGCTCTTGGTAGCACTATATAAAATATTATATTTATGTTTTCTGAAAATATTTCCACAGACAATGTCTTTATCTGTCCTTTGATGTATTATATAGACATTTATTACGAAAATTAACATAATTGCATAACAAATACTAAAAGCCGATGACATCGGCCCTTGGGTTTTTTCGTGTCTTGTTGCTAGGCCGATCTCATCGGCCCTCGGGTCTTTTCACGGCTAATTACAAAGCCGATCAGATCGGCCTGTGGGCATTTTAAAACCTATTGGCAGAGCCGATGTAATCGGCCCTTGGGACCCAAAGGGTTAAAGATAATAATACTATGAGCAGCTGATTGACTATTATAACTACGATTTAACCTGCCATTTCGTGTTTATAGTTTCGGTATTTCTGAAATTTCTGGACTTTTCTTTTAAAAAAATTGCAGAGTGATACAAACCGCGGGTACTACTTTCTCTAGGGCACTATTTGTGTTGCCAGCTGAATCTAAAAACGTGTTGTATAGTGTTTGAAAGACTAATTATTTATATGCTTTATAGTGACTGTAGGAAAAATATAATGTGTAACACGAGTGTAAAAGGCCTTTGCCCACTAGTTACACAAATAACTATTTCCTACCATCATTATTAACTTTTATCATAACACACAAATTAACTTTTTAGTTGTACATAAAATGTCATTTAATTTATGTTTGCTTTTTTTAGATTATGTCATTTGCTACAGGGGTGTTTTTTTTTATTCCAACTCAAACAGTAAATCAGCTGATTTAGCGAGCGAGAATGAATAAAGTAGAAATGAGCAATTTTGCGTACTGTTTACAGGTATGGCAATGTGATCATTTCCATGCAGTGGTAAGAAGAGTTATAAGAGGAACATATTTTGTCAACATTAAAAGCACTCAAATTAAACCCCACATGAAACACAGGTCATAAAAGGCTTCAGTTCATATATAACAATGGGATGCAAATTGTAGCCTTGTGCTTACAGTATCCATAATCAATGATAGATTTTAAAGCCTAATCAAATCACATGTTGTAATTTTATTTTTGTTTTCACAAAAATATATATTAAGAAATCAATTCTGATCAGCTATGATCAAAACTCATGATAAGTTCCTAGTTGACTCGGCAAAGGCTATAGAATCTTACTTACTTCCTAATACAAAAGAACTACTTCTTTTATTAATTGCTTATTCCTTATCCATATATATAAAGCTCAAATACCACTGACTTTTTCACTCACTCATCACGAAATCTCAGAAAACATAAGACCTAGGAACCTGAAACTTGGCAGGCATCTTCCTTTTGGGTAAATTAAAGTTACAATGAATACCAACAGGATGCAGCACTATTAATTCTTTTACATTTATGACAACGGCTAATTTGCAACCAAAAGGTGAGCGAGCGTAGCGAACGAACTTCAACCAGGACGTGATTGAGCCATGCGAACGAGCTCACTTATGAAGTTAAACGGGGCAAAGCCCGCGGGTACAGCTAGTTCAATATATTTACAGTATTTAATTGGTTTAAATCAGCTGTGTGAAATTGTTAAATCAAGTGGATTTCACAGTTCTACTTGTTTACATTTAAACATTGTAAGTTTGATCTTTGTTGCAATGGAGACCAATCAATTTAAAACTTTCACCTCAAAACTTTGAAACCCCATGGGGCAGAGTCCTCAGTCATTTTTGAAGCGAGAATAGTTCTATACAGATCCTCGAAGCTGGAGCTTTAGTTGTGCAAAATTTAAGTCTAGTTGGTTCAGTTGTAGTTTTTGTGTTTACCGCGTACACACACACACACACACACAGAGACTCTTCTTCAATGATTAATCTATCAGTGATAGATTTGTCTAATTTGAATTCATGATAGTAAAATATGTTTTCAATGCTATTAATACACCCAAGAGCTAAATAGATATTTAATTGATTTTTATTAGTTATCTTCATCGTTAAATAAATGCAAGGAAATTACCATGCCAAATTAAAAGTTTGATTTATAAAATTGTATTTCTCTTTTAATTTATGATAGGTTGCAAACTTACTGAACAGATATTTTAGTTATTTTTCTTTGTTATTTAAATATAAGGGGGCATCCTATATTTTAAGATGCCCACATTTGTTACATAATTGATTATTACAGTTGAACCTCTATAAGACGAATTTCAAGGGGTACGGAAAAAATTCGTACTATGGAGGTATTCTTAATAAAGAGGGTCGTTTTGTGGAGGTTTAATGCTGCTATTATTCTTCTTATAGAGGTTTCTCCTCACTCCAAGGTTTCTCCAAACAATGACTGAGGAAGGAGGAGGGATAGGTGGGGGTTTCATGTTGAGACAAGCTTCTGTTTGTTTTGAAAACTACGTACTATGGAGGTCAAGATTATGAGAAATTCATCTTATAGAGGTCACGTTCGTCTTGTAGAGGTTTTGTGCTAAGAATATTCGTTATATAGAGTTTAATCAGTCCTAGCCCATGTTACAAACAAATTCGTCTTATCGAGGTTTTTAACTTAATTACTACGTTGTATAGAGGTGTTTAGGCCATGTCACACCGACATCCGTCGCTCCCGCCGCGGGAGTACCGCGCGCGGATGTTTTTTCTCGAGCCATGTCACACCAAAAGTTCGCGTCCGCGGCGGGAGTTTTGGAGATGAGCTCATTACAATTTGTTTTACATAAGAAACTCATCTTACCTGTTTAGTATGCCATGTAAATTTGCAGGTTTTAAGTAAAGTGTTTAAGAAGCAATTGAATGTTTATTAATTTGTTAGTGTAGGGCTACTTTAAAAAGTGAATAACTATTTTTAAATTTCATTTATACCTTGTGTTCGAAGTATTTTAAATATGGTTGTGGATAAATTATCCACTTTCAGCTTTTGAACGTTATTTTTCGCTACACTACAAAGACTATTTACTTTTTAAATAAAAACATATGACCATTTCAAAACTAATGCATTTTTTTGCTAAGCCTTCTATTGAAAGTTCAAGTTTACATTGATTGTAAAGTTTTGGTTGTTGCAAATCGAAAAAGTTGATGAAACAATAAAAAATATTGTTTACGTCAGGCAATATAAAAATGTTTATGGGAAACATTAAATTTTCACCGTAAACATTATTTTTGCATGGTAAACAAAAATGATTTTTTTCTGGTGATAAACATAATTACGAAGATAATAAATACAAAAGAACATAGACTACATCATCAAACAAAAGAAACATGTTAAATTTAATTTAAAACTGTAATAAACTGTATTACTTTTAAACTTTAAATAGCTTGGGCATTCGAAATGCCCCTTTGCGCATGCGCTAGACAAAACTCCCGCCGCGGTAGTCTCAAAAAATCGCTCAGCAGGCGGACGTGGCGGACACTACCGCACGCCCGCGGGCGCGCGGTAGTGCGGTGTGACTTGGCACATTTGATAACACGGTGAGCGATTTTTCAAAATTCGCTCCCGCCGCGGGAGCGAGCTCGGTGTGACTTGGCCTTTTTTAGCATTGACCTTTATGAAAGTTTCAAGGGGATTAAAAAAAATTTGTCTTATCGAGGAATTTGTTTTATTGAGATTCTTACAAACGAGGTTCGACTGTATTGTGTTTATTTAGCATACTAAGTTTTGAGAAAATTTTAAATAATTTACTTCTTGTTTTACTTTGTTTGATGCATTCCAAAAAGAGTTTTAAAGCACTGAGTAAAGAAGTGCTTTGTTATTTGAATCTGAAGTATTGTGTATGGTTCATTTGTGAGTTGTTCTGGTTTGAACATTTGTTTGAATAAATTGTAGAATAACAATGAATGACAAAATGAATTGATTAATTTTATATTTTCAGTTCTGTTTTGTCTGAATCTGACTTAAAGCAGAGAAAAAGTGAAGAAAAGTCAAAACTGAAAGAACTTAAGAGAAAAAAGAAAGAACAGCTGGCACAGTTAATGAAAGAGTACAATCGTAAAAAAGATGATTTGGAACTTGAAGATTTACAGGTTTGTTAATATATTTGGCTAAACAAAATTATTCATTTTGCACAATTTATTTGTAATGTGTCATGAGTTTATTATGTTCCAGTATATGCTAGTCTATGTATATATATATATGAAAATTTGAACGAATGGTGTTTTTTTCCTCTAAGGGCATCAAAATTAAAAAGTAAATCAGTCCCGGGCCTAGGTCTTACCATAAGACTTACGGTAATAGCTACAAAGATCTATAGGGAACTAGGGGAACTATAGGGAAATTCGCTAAAAGGATTTTTGGAAAAAACCGATTTTAATTAAATTTGTCTGTTGTGGTCCTTATAATTCTAAACAAACTAGTGCAACCCCAATTCTTGTAAAAATTATGGTTCAAAAGCTAATGAAACTTTTGTGATACCTATTAAATATCATAGTTAGTTAACTCTCAACGCTTGACAAGCTAATTGGAGAAAGTATGTGTCAGATTGTTTATACTGTTTATTTTTGAATCGGTTAAGATTTTAAAATAGCTTATATGGCCAAAGGTATAGTAGAATCTATCTATATATTAATTACGTAAGCCGATTCTTTGCGTCAAAATTGTGGGCGACTGGGAAGTCGTAGAATGATGGGAGAGGGGTCAAATTAAAGGTCTAGATCCCGTGACGGCGGGAAAAATAGTGATATTCCCAAATCTCAACACAAAATTAGATATAACGTAAAATGTTCTCCATAAGAATAGCATTAGAATGCATTTACTGCTGATTTTTGTTTACTTCAATACAGCTGATCGTGATTTATCATTAAGCAAGTAAGCAATATTAGGCTACATTTGGATTACTCATTCTGTCAATTCTGCAATGTAATGTACACTATATAAAACCAACTATATAAAGGGATAACGTTACCCGTAATAATAAAGACTTTTTACTTATGTCAAAGTTGAAATAAATTGTTTTCAAGATTAAAGAAACGATTCAAGATTAAATGAAGATCTTCTTTGTATTGATTTCAAAACATGTGTTAAAGATTTACTAGAGAACCCGTGCGGCTCAATGAGCCGCATAGTATTAAACATAACGCCGAGGAAAATGTATGCTCAAATTCGAGTAATTCTAGTTACATCTTAGAGCTGTTTAAACACTTGTTAGAAACTAATTTTAAATATCTATATTTCCGTTGTCAAGGCTCACCTACATTATTTATGCTCTCAGTTTTAACTGATAACTTCTAATGAATGCTAAACGATCTGCTTCAATTCGAGTTAACATGTTGCAACAAAGTTTTTCCAGCATCGAGAATTAAAGAAAACTGTTACATTACTGATAACCTGTGTTAAGTCATTTAAGCTGGATCATTTTATTTCTTTGATTTGAGACATCCCCCTTATCAAACAAATTTTCTCCGTAGAGAATCCTGAAAAGTGGGGTGATATCAACCATTTCATGAGCTTCATTTTTTACAAGGGGTCTGCGGTACAGAAAATTTAAGGTCGGTACGGTTGGGTACGGTACATTCTTTTGTACCTCGGTTTTCGATACAAAATCGGTATGGTATGCGGTTACCATTATTAGAACGGATTTTTTCTCAGGATTGTTTTCGAAAGCCACTTAACGATAAAGCCACCTACCTACCAAGTTAAGATGGTGAGTGGCCAAGATTTGTGAGATTAAAGCTATACATATTTAACTTCTATACTTAAGATAAATCATATACATCATAAAGTGATTTTGAAATTAGGACAAGAATGCATAAAAAACAAACACGTTTATTAAAGTAGAGACGATATAACATGACAAACATATCATTAAAAATAAAAAAAATACTTAATACAAAATTAATATCTTGAAATAAAAATTTATAAATATTAAATATGAATGAACACAGCAACAAAATTATCATTATCACATCATCACAAACCAGGTACCAGTAGTAAAAAATAAAAGAAACATATTAATCTAAACTGTACAAAAATGTATGGTTGTGTGGAGTTAAAGAGTAATCTATTTGAAAATATCACAAAAAACAAATAAACTAAAAACATCCTCTTTTGAAATCATCTAATTATAAATATAAATCTACTTTAAAAAAAATAAAAACACACACTTTATTTTAAATAATTTAACATTTGTTATAGTCCGGTGGCTTAGTGTAATTACCGTTACATGGCGGATAAAAGCATCAAATTTGGTATGAAGGTACCTTAGGGTATACTAATAAATTTTAGCCTAGGAGCCCTTTTGATATTTTTAATATTTCCACACACGGCACCAAAATCCAAAATGGCCGACAAATACGACAAAAACTACCTTTAAAACAATCCATTCTCCTGTTAACTCTAAAATATAACTTAAATCCAACCAAGACTCTACAATACAAACCGGAGACATACTAAATTATATGAAAGAAATTTTATGTGTGTCTGTGTGTGAGTGGGTGGGGGTATGTGTGTGAGTATTTATGTAACGAAACCTGTACTGGACATTGCGCAAAAATGGTCAAACCAATTTACTGCAAATTTGGTGTGGACTTTGTTAGTATCATATGTCAACATTTAGATCTGTTTCCTTTTATTTAACTATTTTTTAAATTTTATTTTGTTTATTTTTACAATTTTCATCTATTTTTTTTTTTTAGATCTACAGGGTTAGGCAAATGTATGAAACCCCCAGTTAACTTTTTAACGCGTTGCAGTAGGAAAACCAAACTCGGCATATATTTACAAAATAAAAAATTTCACTTTTTCATCAAAGTTACAACTTTGCCTTAGCCCCCAAAATTGGGTATTTTGGGGGCAGCCCCAAATTTTAAAACTTAAAAACCTATCATGTGACCGCTCATTTTAAAGGGTTTATCAAGATAAATTGAAAGGTGAAAACTAGAGGTCAATATCACACCCCTAGTCAAAATGGCAGCCATTTTAGTTATTTAAGATGAGTAAGCAAAAGATAAAGTCTTGACAATCCCAGTTAACTTTAATAATTTAATATTTTAATACTGGCCAAAAGGTGAATTATCTTTATTTATAAAGGTATGTAGAGTTTAGTGTTCCAGCTATAACCTGTTACAAAGTTAATAAGGTATATTTCAAAATGACTGCCATATTGATTAGGGGGGAATATCTTGGTGTCATACTGGACTGCACACTGACATTTAAGGTGCATTGTATTGCGACAAGAGGTAAAGTCTCAGCTAGGAATAATATCATCAGGAAGCTCACCAGCAGATGCTGGGGTGCTAACCCATTTTGTCCTCAGAACCTCAGCTTTAGCACTCAGTGTGTCGGCTGCGGAGTACGCTGCACCAATGCATCGTCACATGCAAAAAAGGTTGACATTGCAGTCAATGACATGGCTCGGATTGTAACTGGGTCTTTGAAACCAACCCCAGTACACAAACTCTATCCTATCATAGGGATCGCCCCTCCATCAATCCGACGTGATATCGCTGCCGACGCAGAAAGGACTAAGCAAGAGACAGACCCATTACACGGCCACCAACCTGCAGAGCGATGGCTTCCTTCCAGAAAGAGCTTTTTATCACGGACACGAGTCCTGGATGGATCACTCTCAATCAATCGGGTAGCAAGGTGGGAGGCCACGTTGACTAACCCTTCCTTACCAGCCAGGGAGGAACTGGCTCCTGGTGGAGGCCTTCATTACACGGTGTGGAAGACCCTAAATCGAATTAGGGTCGAGTTACCAAAATGCAAGACAAACATGCAGAAATGGGGTCTCTTACCAGACGAAGAAAACATCTTGTGCGCGTGTGGTGCTGTCCAGGACCCTGGCCGTCTGCTGATCTGTCCATGCCTAGACCAGTCTTGCACATTAGATGATCTTTTACATACGAATGACAAAGCCATATCGGTAGCTAATTTTTGGAAATGCGAAGTCTGATTTCCGGGCACGGAAAGTAAGTAAGTAGTATTAGGGGGGCGATATTGACTTCTAGTTTGCGCCATTTAATTTGTCTTGAGAAACCCTTTAAAATGAGGGTCACATGATAGGTGTTTACTTTTAAAAATTTGAAAATACCCCATTTTGGGAGCCGGGTACAAGTTCTAACTGTAATGAAAAAGTGATTTTTTTTATTTTGTAAACATGTGCCGAGTTTGGTTTTCCCCCTGCCACAAGTTATAAAGTTAACTGGGATTGTCAAGACTTTATCTTTTGCTTACTCATCTTAAATAACTAAAATGGCTGCCATTTTGACTAGGGGTGCGATATTGACCTCTAGTTTTCACCTTTCAATTTATCTTGATAAACCCTTTAAAATGAGCGGTCACATGATAGGTTTTTAAGTTTTAAAATTTGGGGCTGCCCCCAAAATACCCAATTTTGGGGGCTAAGGCAAAGTTGTAACTTTGATGAAAAAGCGAAATTTTTTATTTTGTAAATATATGCCGAGTTTGGTTTTCCTACTGCAACGCGTTAAAAAGTTAACTGGGGGGTTTCATACATTTGCCTAACCCTGTAGATCTAAAAAAAAAAAAAAAAAATAGATGAAAATTGTAAAAATAAACAAAATAAAATTAAAAAAAATAGATAAATAAAAGGAAACAGATCTAAATGTTGACATATGATACTAACAAAGTCCACACCAAATTTGCAGTAAATTGGTTTGACCATTTTTGCGCAATGTCCAGTACAGAGGTTTCGTTACATAAATACTCACACACATACCCCCACCCACTCACACACAGACACACATAAGATTTCTTTCATAATTATTTAGTATGTCTCCGATTTGTATTGTAGAGTCTTGGTTGGATTTAAGTTACATTTTAGAGTTAACAGGAGAATGGATTGTTTTAAAGGTAGTTTTTGTCGTATTTGTCGGCCATTTTGGATTTTGGTGCCGTGTGTGGAAATATTTAAAATTTCAAAAGGGCTCCTAGGCTAAAATGTATTAGTATACCCTAAGGTACCTTCATGCCAAATTTGGTGCTTTTATCCACCAGGTAACGGTATTCGTAAACTAAAGCCCTAAGCCACCGGACTATTAGCCCTTGATGTGAATAAATAATT